ATGTGTACATATATACCCAGGCCCCTCTGCTCCTTTATAATTATTCCCAATATTTTATACTGTCTTTCAAAGTTTTTCCTACCAAATGCATGTGCTCACACTACAGAGTGAGATCAAGCCTGGCTCTTGTGGTGCAGTGGTAGTGTGCCTATCTCTGGAGCAGGAGACCCAGGTTGAAGCCTTACCTGCTCCAGGTGGTGTGTAATACCATCTCTGAACAGGCTGTTTAGAAAATACATCACCCCACCTTCCATGCCATTGGATTATGCTTGTTTTCCTTTTCTGTTTACAGCAGGCCAGACAACACACATTTCAGCTTAGTGAGATGAAAACATGAGGCCCAAACTGCAGTGAACCTTTCCAGCAAACGTTCAAATTGTCTGAAACCATACACCTTCGCTACACTCCACCATCTCTGAAACAACGTAGCTGCTCTATCATGTCTTCAAATCAACCTTTAGATTAATTGTCTCTCACTTACAATTTCCCCTTTGATGTGACAAAACAATTTGCAATCTTTCAGAGTTTGCTAAATGCTTTTAAACTAATTCAGCTCCAACGCCAAAACAAAAAAAAGTGTTTCTCTGAACAGCCATTACTGCAAAGCTTGTGAACGTCATTTATTCAGTTCTTTAGTTAGGTAAGCCCATCTGCTGTACAATTATCTTTCTAAATTGTTAACATCTTATTTCAACATAGTTACCAACCCTTCGTCAGGAGTAATCACCAAGTTTGCTACAGTTAAGCTTTAATCCCTAAAATTACAAAGCTACACTCTTTAAAGATAAAAAGTTATATTCCAAACCTTTCAAAACTTTGATGAGATATACACTTATTCACGTTGACCCATGTGTAAACAAAAGCAATAACATGAGGATTGTCCAAAAGGCTCACACAGATAACATTATTTTATGCACAATGAACCAAAGCCATCAGAAAAGTGAACAACGAAATGCAAATTTCAATCTTAAACTATTCACGTAATAGTCGATAAAAAAAATACTGCAGATGCTGTAAATCTGATACCGTTACAGCAAATGCTGGAGAAATTCAGAAGTATCCATGGAGAGAGTAACAAACAGAGCTAAAAATGTTTCATGTCCAGTACGACATCTCCAGTTTTGAAGAAATAGGAGATGCTGCCAGATCTGCTGAGTTTCTCCAGCATTATGTCCATTTCATGTAATGGTAGGCTTTTGTTTAATGAGGATGCAAAGTATCAAAAGCCTTTTGGAAAATGATAAAGTTGCAATCAGTTTCAGTCTTGGTATAACTTCACAGCCATTTCATAGGGTCTCTCTCAGGCCAATTTTCACACTTAAAGCACTGTACCTTGTACTTTAAGCCAAAGCTGCTACTTACACATTGAAGGCCCCAAGATACTCTAGACTACTATGAGTGTCTTTCCATAGAACGTCCTTGAGGCTGCTTGCTGTTTTGCCAAGCAAGGCTGTTCAACTCCTTCAGTTACATCCGTGGTATGCATAGCCCAGTCCAAGAAAGAAGCCAACCTTCCATCCATGGACTCCATTTACACGGCTTGCTGCGGAGGAAAGGCGGCCAACAAAGACCCATCGCACCCCAGTAATGATCTCCTTCAATCTCTTCCGTCAGGCAGAAGATACAGAAGCCTAAACACACGCACGAGCAGGTTCAGGAACATCTTGTTTCCAGCTGTTATCAGACTGTTGAATGGACTCTGGCCTCAAATAAATGTAACCTGCAAACCTGCCTGTACTGTTTGTAAACAAAGCTTTTCACTGTATTTCGGTACATGTGACCATAAATCGATCACATAGTAAGTTTTCAACTTCAGCTCTCTCCTCACACCTTCAATTTCGGCTGTTGTGTTCTCAATCTTATTGAAGTCAGAGTCATGTCATCAATAATATCATCATGATCTCATTGTACCATAGTTTCAGAGATGCACAGCATGGAAACGGACCCTTCGGTCCAACTCGTCCATGTTGACCATGTGGTGCAACACTGAACTACAAGGTCCCAAGTTGATCTTTCATCTCTGTACTTAGTGAGTTGACCAGACGTAATCAAAATCCAACAATTTAACTCAAAATAGCCTCTCAGCTTGGAAAAAGAGAAAGAAACAGAAAAGCCTGTGATCCAACTTCTAATTGCTAGCCTAATTATCACCCCATTTTGTTCACCCACTGGATCATAAAATCCTTCCTACTCCTGCAACACTAGTGGCCAGCTAGATAAGACACTGAGATAGAGTGTCTAGTCTCTGGAGTATCCCACATCTAACCACTTTTAACAGCAGGTCAGACAGCATAGCACAGCCAAAACTCAATTCAGTGCAGCATATTCCAGTGTATAAGAAAAGTTCAGGCATAAATTTACTCATTACACCAATGCATTACAAGTTCTGTCGAGGTTGGGCAATAAAGTCCCAGATTGCAATATATACTAGTGAAAACCAATTCAGCATGTGTAATACTTTAATGTAAAGTATTTCTGTTGTAGAATTACATTAAAATGTAACACTGTTTTTTAAAAAAACGGATTCATGAGAGGTGGGTGCCACTGGCCAGGCCAGTATTTATTGTCCATCCTTACTTAGCCAGATGGCATTGAAGAGTCAACTGCACAATTCTGGGAGTCTGCAGTCACATGTATGCCAGACCAGGTAAGGACAGCAGTTTGCTTCCCTAAAAAAGGACAACAGTGATTCAAATTGGTTCTTCTAACAATCAAAAGGTTTCATGGTTATTATTAGATTCTTGGTTCCTTTCATTACTGAATTCAAATTCTCCCCACTGCGGGGGCAGAATTTGAACATGGGCCCCCAGAACATGATCTGGCTCTCCAGATTAGCAGTCTAGCAATAATACCACTAGGCCATTGCCTCAGCACTTTAGTACACAACAACAAAGAAACACCAGAGATAGCAAGAACTGCAGATGCTGGAGTCAGAGATAACAATGTGGAGCTGGAGTAACACAGTGGGCCAAGCAGCATCAGAAGAGCAGAAAAGCTGACGTTTTGGATCGGGACCCTTCTTCAGAAATCCTGACCCAAACATCAACTATCCTGCTCCTCAGATGCTGCCTGGCCTGCTGTGTTCCTCCAGCTCCACAGTGTGTTAACAAAGAAACACCTCTTTCCCCCTACACATATCTCTCCACTCTAAGGATGGCGTAGTAGTAATGTCACTGGACTAACAAGGCAAATAATCCAGAATCCCAAGCTAATGTTCTGTAGACACAGGTTCAAATCCCACCATGGCAGATGAATGAATAAAATCTGGAATTAAAAAGCAGTCTAATGGTGACCTGTTGTCATAAAGACCTGACTGATTCACTAATGCCCTTGAGTGAAGGAAATCTGCTTTCCTTACCTGGTCTGGCCAAATGTAACTCCAGACCCAAAGCAGTCTGGTTGGCTCTTAACTGTCCTCTGAAATGGGTGCAGCCTCATCAACACAGTCATCCCTTACGAGAATGAAGACAAAAAAAAATATACACGCACACATACATTAGATAATTAATGTGCATCTGTCTGCCAGACATCATTGTGGTGCCAAAAAAAAGATGGGCTAGAATACACTATACAGCCAACATCTTATAGTCAGGGTAAATGCTTGAGCTCATGAAAATAATGGGCAAGAGTTAGACAAAATATTTCCATTGCACCTACCAGCACTGTAACCAGTTTGCATTTCACAAGTATATATAAATAACCTAGTTAGATTTTGTGCTTCTGGAAGGGGAAGAAATAAGTCAATGCAGAATGTAATAACATCTTGGTGCCTTTCTCCCAGCTCCCAATAACAAGACAAGCAAAAAAAAAAAAAAGCGGACAACAAAATGTGAAAAGCTGAAGAGAGGCAGATGTTATTGCAGAGATCATTGAGATGTTCAGAACTATCCATAAAAACAAATTAAATGAGACAGAGGAACAGTACTGAGGTGGTAGGTGGAGTAAGAGAGAGAGAGAGAGAGATGTCAATGAATGAAGGGGAGGCGATGTGTTTGGAGAGGAGAGAAGGTCAGGTTGAGGGGGAAGGAACAGGGTGGGTGCTCTAGACGGAGGGAGGAGAGGAGGGAAGGAATAATGAAGGAGAAATCAGGAGGCTGTGTCGGGCGGGTGGGGAGGGAACATCAAGCAGAGATCCGAGAAAAGGGTGCAGGTAGGTGGTAGGGGGATACAGAGGGAGGGAGGCAAGCAAGCTTCAGGATGCAGACAGGAACATCAGGAAGGAAAGGGGAAGGGAATAATGAATGGGATTGTGCAAAAGACTGTCATGAGGAAGTTCACAATATTGTGGGGTAAGCAGTCAGGAGGATGGTGGGGGGCAGCTAAAGGAGAGTAAGTGACAGGGCGGCTACACAAGTGGGTTAACAACTGGGTGCCTCTGGGGATGGTGGGTAAATGTCAGGGCAGCCCTAGGAGGGAGTTACTGACAGGGCAGGTGAGGGGGGCATTGAGGAATGGGGCAGGTGAGAGGGTGCCAAGTGACAGGGTAGGTGAAGGAGGACGGTAAAGGGACAGCACAGCGGTTAAGCACCATTGCCTCACGGTGCCAGGGACCCGGGTTCGATCCCACCCTCGGGCAACCGTCTGTGTGGAGTTTGCACGTTCTCCCCGTGTCTGCGTGGGCTTCCTCCCACAGTCCAAGGATGTGCAGGCGAGGGTGGGTGGGCCATGCTAAATTGCCCCACAGTGTCCAGGGATGTGCGGGCTTAGGTGGGTTAGCCAACGGGGAATGCAGCGTTACAGGCTCAAGGCTCAGGGAGTGGGATGCTCTTGGGAGGGTCGGTGTGGACTCGATGGGCCTGTTTGTATAATTTGGGATTCTATGGCTCAGTGACAGGGCATCCCGGGAGGAGGGTGGGGGTATGTGACAGGGCAGGTGGGGGGGGGGGTAAGTGGCAGGGCAGCTAGAGAAGGGTGTCGGGGTGTGTGTCTGTCTGTGAGAGTGTCTGTGTCTGTGTGAGTGTGTGATGGGCGGAGCGCCGCTCTGGAAGCTCTCTGGTTACCTCCTTCTGTTTGGGATCCTGCGGGTAGACATCGGGAGGGCCGAGCCGGGGCCGCTTCAGCGATCGCTGTTCATAACTGAGGAAACCGAATGCCGCCATCCCACATCTCAGCAAGAAAAGCAGAGTTTGGAGCCGGCTTCCCACAATCCTTTAGGTAGCTGTCTCTCAGCTTTTTTTTAAAAAAAGAATCAGACATCATTTATTTTTCAAATATCCCAAATAATCGCAATACACGGACAGACAGCATTGCAACAAAAAAAACAATACTTTACAATGCAAACAAAAAAAAACGCAAGATCAGGTGATCCCCTATCAAGATACTAGCATACAGGTGCGTTTGTCAATTTTAAAATATATTATACGTTTAGGAATTTTGGATTTTATCGGAATTCCCATGTACAGACTAACCATATCCTACCGGCCAATTGCTACAAATATTTGACTTATTCCCTCAGATGTTAGAATGCTACAATCTATCTAATCGAATCCAATCTCCTGTCTGATCAAAGTCCCTCTTCAGAATTTTTGTTACCAATTTGACATTAAAACTCCAACAGGGGAGAAACAATTATAAATCCACTCAGTCTGTGTATAAACAAAGTATTTTGTGTCGCAAGGACAGAGAGAGATGGCAACACTCTCAGATTCAACTAAAACTCTCTGAATTGTCTCCGATGAGGTGACATTTTTTAATTTTTTTTTGCCTAAATCGGAATGAATTGCATTTTGCAACATTCCTGACGGGACATTTTAACATGTTGCACGTTTTTAAGAAACAAAAAGCAAAATTCTTATTATTTATCGGTTTAACTTTTGCTCAGCAACAGAAAATATGAAATAATGCTGCCCCTCAGCCTTGCCCAGATTTTTCCAACCCTGCCTTTACCTTTCCAGAGGCTTGTTCCTGTTCTCTGTTCACGAAGCTGCTCAGTGCTGAGCATGGTCCACTTCAATCACAGTCCATTCACCACATCCAACCCCACTTTCCCAGTAATTACACAGATAATTTGTTTCCAGATTCCCTTCCTGTTCCTCCTCCTCCTCCTCAGCTATTACGGCTTTTTTTCTCTCTCTCTCTCTCTCTCTCTCTGCCGGGCTGCAGCGCGTTTTACTGTCCTCTCAATTGACGCAGCCACACAAACAGTTCTTTCGACAAGCCCCCACTTAAAGGGAACGGCGAGAACATCGGGCTCGGCCGATAAATATTTCTGCACCTCCCCGGAGGCTGAGGCATTAAAAGGGGGAGTGTGCAAAAAGGGGAGCTTTCCCCAAACGAAATGCACGCACGTCCTAGCCCAAGCACATTTCATAGAATCTCTACAGTGTGCCATTCAGCCCATCGAGTGCACACCATCCCACTCCCGACCCTGCATTTCCCATGGCTAATCCACCCAGCCTGCTCATCTCCGGACACTATGGGGTAATTTAGGGGAGTGTGCAGTGGGACCTGGGTATCCTTGTGAATCCAGTCACTGAAGGTAAGCATGCAGGTGCAGCAGGCAGTAAAGAAGGCAAATGGTATGTTGGCCTTCATTGTGAGAGGTTTCGAGTACAGGAGCTGGGATGTGTTGTTGCGGTTATACAGGGCCTTGGTGAGGCCACACCTAGAATACTGTGTGCAGTTTTGGTCTCCTTTTCTGACGAAGGATGCTCTTGCTCTTGAGGGAGTGCAGCGAAGGTTTACCAGGCTGATTCCGGGGATGGCAGGTCTGGCACATGAGGAGAGATTGATTAGGTTGGGATTGTTTTCACTGGAGTTCAGATGAGTGAGGGGGGATCTCATAGAGACTTAAAAGATTCTAACAGGACTGGACAGGGTAGATGCAGGGAGGATGTTCCCAATGATGGGTGTGTCCAGAACCAGGGGTTTGAGTATTTGGGGTAGACCATTTCAGACGGACATGAGGAGACAGTTCTTCACCCAAAGAGTGGTGAGCCTGTGGAATTCATTATCACAGGAAGTAGTTGATGCCAAAACATTGAATGTATTCAAGAGGCGACTAGATACAGCACTTGGGGTGAATGGAATCAAAGGTTATGGGGAGAAAGTGACATTCAGCTATTGAGTTTGACAATCAGCCATGATCATGATGAATGGCCTAGCAGGCTCAGGGGCCAAATAGCCTCTTCCTGCTCCTATGTTCTATGTTTCTATGTTAGCATGGCCAATCCACCTAACCTGCACATCATAGAATCCCTACAGTGTGGAAGCAAGCCATTTGGCCCATTGAGTCCATGCCAACCCTCTGAAGAGCATCTCTCCCAGACCAAACCTATCCCTGTAACCTTGCATTTCCCATTGCTAACCCACGTAGCCTGCACATTCCCGAACACTACGGGCAATTTACCATGGCCAATCCACCTAGCCCGGACTGTATGAGAAAACCAGAACACCCAGAGGAAACCCACCCAGACATGATGCAAGTGTGCAAACTCCGCACAGTCACCCAAGGCTGGAATTGAACCTGGGTCCCTGGCACTGTGAGGCAGCAGGGCTAACCACTGAGCCACCATGCTCTATACAAATGCTCTAAAAGGGTATTTAGAGCATTTGTATTTGTCAGCTGAAGTCAGGCATTTTATTTGTGGATCGAAGCTCCCCTGACCTGGAAATATTTCAGCACAAAGGTTGAGGCTGCAGTGCCACTGCTGAGGGAGTGTCGCACTGTCAGTGCAACCATCTTTTAGATGGGCTCCTGTCTAACTGACCTTTCAGATGGCGTGGATATCAGAGATGGCATGATGCTATTTTGAAAAGGAACTCATGAATTGCCCCAGATAGCATTCTGGCTAATAATAATCCCTGAACCAAAATGACCAAACGACAGATTGTCTAGTGGCTGCAACATTGATGTTTGTGCACAATTTAGTTGCTGTATTTCCAAAGTTAGAACAGGTCAAACAGTACACTTCAAAAAGCATTTCATTATCTGTACAATGTTCTAGAATATCCACAGGTACAAGATGATATTTGAATAGAGATCCAAATGAAACAAGATGTAAGTGCTGGAAAATCTCAGTAGGTCTGGCAGCATCTGTGGAGAGAAAGCAGAGTTCATGTTCAGTGACCCTTCTTCAGAACAGAGACTTTGTTTATTGACTAGCAATGCTGCAGCACCTCCTGGGGGTCCTGGAACTATCCAGGGCAGTGGCAATCATTCTAAATTATACTTATCTGTTCATGGGCTGTGGATATCACTGGCTAAGACAGTATTTATTGCCATTTCCTAATAGCCATTGAGAAGGTGGTGATGAGCCACCTATTTGTGCCATTACAGCCCATCTGGTATAGCTGCTATTGCAAAGGAATTTCCAGATTTTAACCTAGTAACAGTAAAGGAATGGCGATGTAGTTCCAGGTTAAGATGGTGTGTGACTTAGAGGGGGAAATTGGCTTGGAGGTGTTCCCATGTGTCTGCTGCTCTTGTCCTTCTAGGTGTCAGAGGGCATGGATTTGGAACGTACTGTTGAAGGTGTCTAGGTGAGTTGCCCCAGTGCCCTTTCTGGATGGTACACACTGCTGCCAGTGTGTAATGGTGGTGAAGGGTGTGAATGTTTAAGGTGATAGACATTTTTCCAGTCAAATTGGTTGCTTCTCCTGGTACAACAAGGTGTAGAGCTGGATGAACACAGCAGGCCAAGCAGCATTAGAGGAGCAGGAAAGCTGACGTTTCGGGTCTAGACCCTTCTTCAGTGAAGCATCTTGAGTGTTGTTGGAATTCAACTGATCCAGACAATTGAGGAGTATTCCATCCTTATTTGTGCCTTGTAGATGGTGACAGGCTTTAAGGAGACAGGAGATGAGTTACTTGCTACAGAATTCGCAGCCTCTGACCTGTTCTTGTAACCATATTGTTTATATGGCTGTCCAGTTCAGTTTCTGGTTAATGGTAACCATTGGGCAACGTTTCTGAAGAACTTCTGCACAGATGTCCTGGGCATGAGATGGTTGTCTTCTAACAATCACAATCATTTTTCTTGGCGCTACAACAGACTCCAACCAGCAGAGACTTTTCCCGCTAATTTGGCACAGTTTTGCTTGGGGCACACTTGGTCAAATCTGCCTTGATGTAAAGGGCAGTCACTCTCACTTTACCTCAACCATAAATGACATAAATATATTCTCTGTGGACTGCATTTCAGTACAAAGGCCACTCAAAAGAGCAACACAGCTGTCACGGTACTATCTTAACTGTAATACTGCACTCATTAGCAAAGTTAAATACTTGTAGCAGGCAACAGTAGGGCAGGAGTTCAAACCGAGCACAGAAATCAAAAGAGTAGGGCTCTTATGGTGCTGTATTAGTGTCACTACCTTTGGACTAGAAGGTTCAGGTTTAAATTTACCTGTTCCAGAGTTGTGTCATAACGCATCTGAACAGGCTGATCAAAAATAATTGCAAATCAGAAGAACGTAAGTGCAGGAGTAGGCCATTCTGTCCCTCAAGCCTGTACCGCCAAGCAATTGGATCATGGCTGATTTTGTGTTAAGTCCAGCTGCTTCCTTGGTTCTGGAAGTTTAATACCCCTTATTTAGTGAAATTATATCAATCTCAGGTTTGATATTTTTAATTAACTTTTCCAGTGCCAATAGATTTTTGTTCCAAGAAGAGAGAATTCCTGATTTCCACAGTCCTCTGTGCAAAGAATGCATCCTGGCATCACCTCGACATAATCTAACTTTAACTTTAAGGTCATAGCCTCTTGTTGTGGACCACCAACACCACCTCACCCTGCTGCCCTCAATCCCTTCACCGCACCTTCCACCACACTTCCCACATTCTCCACCCCATCCCCATCAAAGGATATAATTTATTTTTTATCCAACCACTTTAATCATTGTAAACTCCTTACTTGGATTCACGATCAATGCGAGAGGAAATGCATCTTTGAGCAGATTTTACAAATAAGCCCTCACGATTCATGCAATCAGACCAGTTATTGGAAATTCAGACACAAGAGACTAGCACATCACAGTGCAATCTTCCATTCATTAATTTTAAACATGCTGATTGGGCTGCACAGTACACCCCAACTCCAAATATGTGTTTTCATTACATTAAGCTCTGTCTGAAAAAAAGCTTGTTACGTTTTTCTTTAAAGCTCCAATGTCACTGGAAGCATTTAAAATTAGGAAGGGCAACATTGCTCGAGAAAACATTAAAACGTTGGTAGTAATTTTTTTGACCTCTATCAAAATGGATTGCAAACTTAGCCTGAAATTATTTCATTGCCCATTTTTACGAGTAGCACTTTACCCACCAAGTCTAATTTTACTTGCAAAAATAGAAAGATTTGCATCTCTACAGTGCCCTTCAGAACCACCAGATATCTCTAAGTGCTTCAGAGTATTGTTGTCAGGTAAAAAGTGCAGCAGCCAGTTAGTTCATAGAAACTTCCATAAACAATTATGCAAAAATGACCAGATAATTTGTTTTGTAATGTTGTTTGTGGGGTAAAATATTGTTCAGGACATTAGGGATAGCACCCCTGCTCTTTTTTTTTGAAGCAGACTCATGGGATTTTTTCACATTCATCTGACAGGCCACAGTTTAATTCTGAAAGATGAAAAATGTGTGCAAATGGTGTGTTGCAATTTATACAGTAACCAAGGGTAAAGTGAGCAAAGGGAACAATGTAAGTATCATTAGAAAATATATTTTTGTGAAAATGGGAAACAGGTTTGATTTATGCACACTGCGCATGGTAGAAAGCATATCATCAAATATTGTGGCAATCTCTCCCTTTGAAATGAGGACAAAACTAACTTGGGCTGTGCTAAACTATGTCTACAGTAAAAATACCCTAGCAATGCTCACATGATTACACATCTCCCTCAATTGACTTCAAGACAAGCTAAAATTAATAACAGCCACAATCTATGCCAGCAAGACACAGAATGCCTCAAGGGATGTGGTGGCATAGTTGTGATATCACTGGACTGGCATTCCAGAACCCTAGGTTAATTTTCTGGGAAACATGGCAGATGTGAATTCAATGAAAAGCAAGCTTAATGATGACCATGGAGAGCAGGAGGTTGAGGGGTGATCTTATAGAGCTTTATAAAATCATAAGGGGCACAGATAAAGTAAATAGCAAAGGTCTTTTTCCTAGGATGGGGG